TTTTTTTATCTTAGATATTCGAACATTGTTTTATTCGAAATTACTTAGTGATAATTTATATTTTACTTAATATTTTGATTTTTTTTACTGTAATTCCAATTTATTAACTTAACAAAAAAATTATTTACCTAGGATTTATTTTTTTAACTTAGTGAATATTTTTTCTACTGAGAAACAAATTATTTACTGAGCATCCAATTTTTTACCTAGCATTCAATTTTTTTACTGAGCAATCACACAGTTTACTTAGCACTAATCTACTTAGCATTTCAATATTTTTACTGAGCAAATAATTTGTAGCCTTTTAGTATTATTTAAATTCATATGGATAGTCAGTTGATTTTAACCAAATTTTCATATATCGATAAGTCTTTTTTTTTTTATAGTAAGGAAAAAAAATCGAAAGGCTTTTATTATTAACTATCATTCATCATTTCATTTGGAAAATCATATGTGTCATACAATGTTAATTAGATGTTATTGATATTTAACTTGTATTTTGTGAAATATCAACTGAAATTGGTTTCAAATCAGGAGATACAAAATCACGTTTCGCATCTGGTGAAAACATAAGCGTCGGTGAATAATATTGTTTCCATAATGAAGAATCTAATAAATAACCGTTTCGATCAATGAAATCATTAAAATTCGATACAGATGAATCACATTTTTGTGTTGCATTCCAAATAACTGTCGCCCAAAATTGTGTCATTGTTTCGTGAAAACCAACAGTAAGTTTCGATGCATGAAGTCCATTAAATTTTTGTATACCTTGTCGAATTTTCAATAAAGCTTCTTCGAAATTATTCGATGATTTACAAACTAAGTAAGCCATACGAATATGAGCTGCATGTGTCCATTGTTCAAATGGTAAAACTGCTGTTTGAAAATCGTTTAAAAATTGTGCATCAGCATCCATAATTAAATGAGTAAGGTATAATTCAATTTAGTTCGATAATACTAAAAAAGAATGAGAAAAATATTACGCTACGATCAGTCATCGGTTGCTCACTCATGGAGAGGATTTGAACGTTCAAGAACAAATTAAGATGATGAAAGAATCTTTCCAGATTTTAAAAACATTTTTCGATTGTGAAAAGTTGATTTTCAACTGCAAATTTTCCATCAATAAAGTTTTCAATGAGATTAGTTAATTGGGAGAATTGTTCCATATCCGAAATTTTCTCATGTGTCAAAACAAATTCTATTCATATATATATTTTTTCAGAAACGAAATTCTAGTTGTGCAATCAATTAATCTTAATAAGAATTTTGATTGTTCACATGACTATAGCTCTTATCAAATGAATATTGTCTCAGTACAAAAAAAAAGATTTGAAACTTTGAAAGATCAGTAGTGAAAAAGTCTGTTTTGGTTTGGTTTTTAGATCTTTGCTTGTTGACTTATGAACAATATACTCAACTTTTGTTTCATAAGCATATAGTCGTTGAATGAATTATGACAGAGAGGTATCCTTATTGAGATATTACTTTTTCACAGAAACGTACTTCGTTTGAAACACAGTCCAAAATCGACATTTTCGTTAATATCGAAATATCTTAGCAAGGATATGTTCATTTTGATTCAAACTTTAGCTCTTTTCTACTGAGTCTAAGACGTAGCTATAGATAAAATGTCAGCTCAACTCATAGGTAGGACTCACATAGAGATAAAATTCCTGAAATAATTCACACTATTAGGCCTTTCTTCTCGAGTTATGGCCATTTGACTGAACTTTCAGTCTATTAAAGGATACGACGAGAAAAACCACAACAAGGAATTTTGACCTAAAGCTCTTTCTAATAATATTTTTCATAGTTTTTATGATATTCTAAAAGTTTCAGATCAAATGGATGCTGCCCTTCTGAGATAAGACGTTTTCGAAAAAAAAGTGCTACTTTCACACTAGAGCTCAACAAGAAAAGTTCAGCTTTTAGGCATAGGATATTTTGAGAAGAAATCATCCATTTGAATTGAATCTTTTAGGATATCAAAAGGGTAATGAACAGCTATTGTTGGGAAGAGTTTCAGGTCGAAACTTCTTGTTAACATTTTTCTCGTAATATTCTTTAATAGGCTGAGAATTCAATCAAATGATCATAACTCGAGAAGAAAAGTCTAACAGCACCAATCATTTTATGATTTTCATCTATGCTATAATGGAGATTATCAGTCGAAGTGGGTTCTCTCATAAGATTTGATGAGAAAAAAGAGAATTTCTTCGAAAAATCTGAATATTAATTATTAATCAAATGAAAGACGATGTGAATTTGATTTGTGTTCATATGTCGAATTGTTATCAACAAAAAGTGATTAAACAATATTTTTCTTATTCTTCTTCATTGATCCAAATACCATCTACAGAAAAAAGTTTGGTTGATTCAAGGAAAAAAATTCACCTTGATCTTCAAATAGAATTTTAATCTCGTAATATTACCTATCTTTTTTAAAGTATCATTTATTATTCTATGACATTTATTGTTGTTTAACGAGAGATTTATATATATTTTACTTTTGTTAAAATTCTCTCAAACTTTCCTAATAAAAAAATATAGACAAAGATTATTGAAACTAATTATTTATTTTATTAAAAAAAAAATAAAAATAAAAATATGATTTATATTAGATAAAGATATTTATTTCTCTTGTTAAAAAAATCCAGATCAATCAATATTAACAACAAATTTGGTCGACATGAAAGTTAAAACTACTCAATAGTTTAGAAGAAGAAAAAAAACGAACTGAAAAAACGAAATCATTCTTGTATACACACTCACGTTTCTTATATTGACCTAGTACAAGGACATAAACTAGTCAAATAAAATAAAAAGAAAGTAAAAACCTGTCATCAAACACGCACACACACAAAGACAGTAGAAGTAAAAATAACAGTGAAAGAGAAACCCGATAAATGTAGATGTACCTTCATTTAGACAAAAAAAAAAAAACTTAAAATATCCAATTATAATTTTCCAAATGTTGATTTTTATGGATTGAATATAAATAAATTTTCATAATAATCACTGGTAATATATAATATCATGAATATTTCAATCGATTATTTTTCTTGTTTTGAAATTCTAATGTGTCTTCGTTATTCTTCAATAAAGTTGTATAGGAAAAAGATACATTAGATCAACTATTAACAAAACGAAATCAAAAAGAAATACATGAAAGAACAAGATGACTAGCGAAAATCAGTAGCACCTATTTCACTATGAGATACATTATTTTTTGTGTAGTCAATAACTAATAGACAATTACATTTGATATTGTCCATCATTATACGTCATAATCTTCTTATGACTTCTATTATTTTGTTCATATTGTTGTTGATTATCTTCATCGTTTTGATTAATAACATATTTATTACCACTTTCAATATCTTGTTCATTTTCACTATCATCATCATTATGAAATACTTCCATTAAATTTTGAATAATATTTTCTAAATAATTATTTCCACCAAGTATATGAATTTCATCAAATACTTGTTTTGCTAAATCCTTACATGTTTGACGTGTATATTCAATAGAACCAAATTCATATAATAATTGTATACAATAACGTTTTAAATCAATATCTTGTGTACGTTGTTTAAGTATATGTATAATACGTGTATCTCTATCATGTGTATTAACAGCATGTAAAATAGGAAATGAAAATTTTCCTTCTGTTAAATCTTCACAATATGATTTATTATTTGTATATTCTTTTGATATTAAATTACAATAATCATCACGTATTTGAAAAAATAAAGATAATAAATGACATAATCTATCAAATTTATATTTATGACGTATTTCAATTGATGAAAATAATTGCATAAGACGTACACCTAAATTAAATAGACCACCACATTTTTTTAAAACCATTTGACGATATTCATCTTCCGATGGTGATACAAAATTATCGCGCCACCATATTTCCATACCTTGTCCATGATGTAAATTTAGCATTTGTTCTAGAGACAGAGAGAAAAAAAAAAAAGAAATTGTTTATTTTTCTTATAATTCTATATCAAGAATGATTTTTTAAAAAAACAAACCAACAAATATTTGTGTAACATCAGGATGTCGTAATGTAAGAGCTTGTTGCATAGCTAAGAAATAAATATAATTAGCAGCATTTATGGTTAATGGTACGCCATAAATATTATGAGCAACTGGCACACCACGACGTAATTTAGAATTATCTTGAATATCATCAATAAGTAAAGATGCATTATGAAGCATTTCAATAAGATCACCAATTACAATAAGTTTATCATCAGGTATATTTAGCCAAAAATTGAAGGCCTATTAATTAAAAAAAAACACAGCATAAAGAAAAACAACAATGGATTGGTTTTGTTTCTTTACTTTAATTAATTTTGGTCGAATTTGTTTACCAGGTATTGTACGTATATATTCATAGGGTTCCAAAAGAATCTTTAATAAATATTTAAAAATTATAAATTTTAATAAAATTAATTTTAAAAAAATTACTTTATTTTCTGCATCAGAATCTGTTATAGATCGTTCATTAACTTCCATTATCGAATGAAAACAAAAAAAAAATCTAAAAAGAAAGGAAATACTTAATTTATTTCAAAACTCATTTACAGATAACAATCAAAATAAATTGATATAAGATGAAAATCTAAAATGATCGTATTCGGTATTACCATTTTCTATGAACCGAATATGTACGCTAATGACAAAACTAAAGACAATGAAAGTGATTGTTTTTACTACTGCTTTTATCATATATCCATAGAAGTAATAGATAAGTATCTATTCCAATCGGAATGGAAAAGTCAGTTCGTTCAACGATGCACAACCATGCATATTAAACTCATATGTAAATCATAATAACAATATCAAAAAAGAAGATAAACATCTGTACGTGATAAGGCTAAGGTCGGAATGCTACCTTACATGAAGAGAGAAAATTGATTGATGTGAGATCATTCTAGGAGTTATATACAGGTAATAATCATTCATAAGTTGAATAAATAAGAAAAATACATATCTAGACATCAATACACATGCACAATCCTTTTTCTTTTGTGTCAAAAGAAAGGACATGTATAAAGACAAATAGACAAATAAATATGCACAAAGAAAAATAAAACTATGCAGTTATAATATAGTAATAAGCAATTTTTTTTTGCCTTCTTCTCATTTGTGGCTCTTTGACAACAACAAGTATAAAACAAAAAGAAAAGAAAAGATTTCAGGAGAGAAAAAAAGAAGCCTATCATAATTACAATGTTTGATTAAAAAATAATATAAGCAGAAAATTTTTCTTTTTTGAACTTAATACATTTGTAACATTGAGTTTCATACCAGATGATACAATAGACAGAAAAGAATTGATAGTGGAACCATCACCAATGAAATTGTCAATCAATTGAATATACAAAATTACTTTGATTTGGGTCATAGTTTTTTGTCTATGTTTTGATATAAATGTGAAGGAGAAAAAAATGAATACGTCATAGATAATTTGTCAAACTTTTTATTATTTTGTAAATGTTCTACACGCTCTACTAATGAGAATAATATTTCTTGTCACAGTTGTAAACATGTACTGCTTGTAAACGAGTACCTTGTAATAAAACTCCTATGTATAAAGAACAAGTTAATGACATCAACAGAGGAGAAAGGAAAGAAGGACAGACGATATTACAACGCTATTGCTATCTATAAAGGCCATTATTTATTGTTTTGATGATAGTCAGTCAGGGCCATATACATATATACATCTATAAACACTCATCTTTTTGTTTTCATGGCCAGACTATAGTATATAAGTTATTCAAAATTACCATCATAAAACTTCTATATTCTATTGAATACTGAAAATAAAAGAAAAAAATAAGTGAAGTACTCAATATGTTAAGAAAAACTTAATTAAAATAGCCAGTTTAATAAAAAAAAAAAACGAAAAATAAACAAATAAAAGCAAAAGTTTCAATGTGAAAAGTTAGTATAGAATAACAAACAAATGCAAATAACAAAAGCTGAGACTTAGCATGAAAATTATACGAGAAAAAATAAATCAATTAGATGATTGTTCATTATCTGCCTTTGTATATGAGTTTTTAAATGGATTTTTTTCTGATCGAAGTATATCTTCATTAAAACGCGGTGGTATTTCATTAGTATCAAGAAGTAGATTACGTGTTAAATAATATGCTGTAAGACGAGCTCGAGCATATTCCTAAATATTTCAGAAAACAATAAAGTAAATTTTTGCTATTATTTTAATATTATACTTTCATACCATGTAACCAAATTTAATTGCAGTTGATGTTGCCATATTAATAGACCATAATGTCCAAAAAAAATGTGAAGCTAATGCAAAATAATTAGCTTCTTTTATTAATTGATTTATTAATTCTTCTCGATTAGTATTATTTATTGATGATACTGCTTCATTAGTTATTCCATTTGTTTGACAAACAGATTGATTTTGTGTGGAAATTATTACATCAACATATGATGATAGAAAATTAATCTATATAAAACTAATTATTTATATTTAGATTAAGAAATTAAGAAAATTTTACTTGTTGAATTTTATTTGGATAAGAAGAAAAATCAACATTAAAGAAAGGCCATTCTTTTGATGATTTATAATCGAACATAAATTCACAAAAATGATTTCCAATATCAAATCCACTATAAATAAAAATCGTTTTTTTATTTTTAGTTTCGATTTTTCTTTTTTTTCTTACCGATAATTATATGAACAATATTCAAAATCAATAACTGTAAAACTTTCTGGTTCAGATTTTATACGAAGAATATTTCCTGGTTGAAAATCATTATGAGTAAAACATACAGGACTCTGAACAGTTGCTAAAATTTTTCTAAACAGAAAAAAACAAACAAACACAATATACCAAGCATCCCAAAATTCACTTATCAAAAGAAGAATTCTCAATAGATATGGACGAGATAGTCTAGATGCAAGTTCTGTCAGAACTAGAGTCGATACAAAGAAATGAATGGTCCCACTCATGCCTTTGTTGCTTGTTAAGCGAGCTTTTGTAGATTTAGAAAGTTTGAAAGAGTAAAAAATAAGTCCGAAAAATTTCGAAAACCCATAGAAGCTCGGTTGTGCTATTCCGTTCAATAGGGCTCCATATTTTCAATTGAATTCTGACCTGAAACTTAACTTACACATAGCTCTCATGTAGACTAGCGTATGTAGAAGATTTCAGAATTTTTGAAATATACAGTTTTCAAATGTAGTACTTTCTTATCAATGTTGAATAATCTATATAAATTTCCTCTATCGTCATGAAAAAAAAGAATTAGTTGATTCTTGGGATATCTTGTATTAAAAAATTTAAATTACTTTAATTCTTCGAATTCTTCTGTAAAATGACATACAGATCGAAGTTCTTGAAATATTGCTCGATCTTCTTCGATTTCAAATTTATGTATATCTGTTGGTAAATCCGATAGAAACCTAAAACAATTTTCGTATTAATAAAAAAACAAAACAACACATTAAAAAATATATTAATTTACTGTTGAATCGTATGATATAACCAAATCGGTTCTTTAACTATTGGCATATCAAGTTGATGAATTTCACTAAGTAATCGACTGATTTTTTGTGAAATTTTTGGATCACGAATTTCGGATACAAGTAATGATTCAGCCTAATTAATAAAATATTTAAAAATAAGTTTTGTTTCGAAAACTTTCAAAAATAAATACATTCTAAATCTTTTTTTGCTATAGATGTTAGTAAAAAGATAATGAAATTAAACGATGAGAAAAGAACTTAGAAATATCTCATTAATGTTTATACTAAAATGTAATAGAGATAAAGTTGGTATTTGTTCGTTAGAGTTTCTAAGATCAAATGTCATCGTAAAATTTATAATCGCTTTTTTGCATTAGTACTGTTATGGAAATTAATTGTCAAATATAAATGTCAATTATTTTCGAGATTTTTGTTTACGTCTTCGTTGTATGCCTAATTATATGTTGTTCTTGCTATAATGATTACATTTGTTTGATTATACGAAACAGAACTGATATGATTAAAGATATTGCCCTCAGTCAAGTCGTTTCTGTATGAAAAACTAATAGAATAATTGTCATTCTTATAGAATGATACATCAATGCAGAGTTATAGAAGTAAACATACTAGAAAAAGCTTGTTAATACAACCCTTTTGGAGTTAAAATATTGAACTCATTTGTATACTTTAGCCTCGTTACACTAATATAAAATACGTAAAATGAAAAATCTCGTGCAGACTGTTTTTCTTCATTTACCATTGTAATTATTATTCTAACCATTGATTTAACGAGCAAATAAGCCTATTGTACATCTAGAGCAAATATCATCAATACACTATTATGTATCTCAATCATATTATAACAATGCAAAATCAATGCAACACTAACTATTTCGTAAAAACTTTGTAATGTTCTAGAATTGTCTAAGTATTGTCGTTCAGTGCTTTTCTTTCATCACTGATTGACTCTGTGAAAAGAGTCTAACATCGTCTGTTACTCTCGGTAGCTAAGGTCTGTCATAATGGACAAGAGAGAGTCGCAATATTTATTTCAAATTAATCAGTAATTATACATCACTATTTTTTTTTAATATGAAAGCTAAACTATAATGTTATCTGTTTCATCTATGTTACTAGAAAACTATTAACCATGTATGAAAGATTTGATGTACTACTGTTAATTGAAATAAAGAATAACCTGAGTACCCATGTTGTACGTTGGTTCGTAGTTGCACCGGTATAATGCGAAAAAATGGCGTTGAGAAGATATCCAACCGTTTAAGTATCAAACTCATGCCAGTTGATTGTCGATATATATACACATTATACCGAATAGTGTCCGCTTTGAATCACATGGGTACTTATTCTATTGTGTTAATCTTCATGTAATTAAAATTTTACAATCAATATTTCGACTTATTAAGACATATAAAATAAGCCTTCTATATTACAGATGGTTTTACTGTGAAGATCTTGTCTATATTATATGTATTAACTTACTTCAACAAATTCTTCAAGACGTCCTTCAGGAAATATACCATGAACATGTGGACCTAATTTTCTTTCAGATAATAATGTACATACAACACTATCAACCAAAAGAGTACCACGATGTTTTTGATGAGATTCACCGTAAATTCTTTAATTTGTTTTTTTTTTCATAATAAAAAAAAATAGTGAAAATTATTTTTATACATTTGTATTAAATACCTTAATAGTACTTTTCGAGGTTCATCACCTTGTAATTCAACATGATCAGGTAATGAACAACAATAGAGATAATTCGATAGACCACCACTAATTTTTTTTTAAAAAAATGAAATTATTTCTTAATCAATAGTTATAATTTTTATAAAAATCATTTACTGAATGCGTTTCATATTCATTTCTTCAACAGTAATTGTTGACCAAGCACCACGAAGAAAATTTTGACACCATTCAAGTGCTTGATTAGGTGTTACTTTTTCTAGTGGCATTATCGATTTGCGTCGTAAATATCTATATAAAA